TCGTCGGGGTCAACATCGAGAACTCCCTTTTCAAACTGCAATGCCGATCAGAGGGAGCTTCCGGGCTGCTGTCACAAGAACTACGTTCTCGAACATCGTCTTCTCCGTGTTGTCGTGACGGTGGCGGTGGCGTGAAACAGTGGACGGATTGGACAGCCATTTGAAGAGACGATTCACATGGAAACTGTACAACAAGAAAATCACGTCAACGTATGACGAGGTGAGGGAAATTAACAAGACGGAACAAACTCACATTTCGAATATTTATCACAAAACAGTGGAACAACAACATTTGAATCCATATCGTTTTGTCGGACCCTGATGTGAGGCTCAAGTGGTATCTCAAGTCCGACTCCTCGCCCACTCGTTCAGTGTGCAAGTGGTTTGGATATGTCCGAGTAAACTCGCACTTTTTCAGGCGAGAGTACAAATGCGAGCTGATTCAAACTTATTCAACGTACAATAAGAAATTAAGTTCATGGTCGAAACAAGAGCGAACACAAGTGCGAGTCGATTCGGTATTATCCACTAAACAACGAGAAATTTCAAGTGCCAAAAAATTCGCACTTCAGAGGAACATTTCGATTACGCCGTGCAATAAGAAATTGCCTTTGTGGTTGGTTCAGTGGCGAGTTAACTCGCAAATACAAAATGACTTCATTCTTTTGGGCCGATAAGAGACGCGAATTATTGACTAAAGAGGAACAAATTTAAGGGGATGGATGGTTGAAGAGCGAATAAATTCGCACTTGCAAACGAGCATTTCCATTATGAAAAAAGACTTATGGACTAAAGAGTCACAAATTTGGGGGGATGGTTGGTCGAAGAGCAAAATAATTCGTACTTGCAGACGAACATTTCCATTATGAAACTAGGACTTTTGGACTATAGAGTAAGAAATTTAGGGGGATGGTTGATTGAAGAGCGAATAAATTCGCACTTGCAAACGGGCATTTTCATTACGAAACTGGGGGGTACAAGTGCGAGTTAATTCTGACCTATGGACTGAACAGTGACAAATTAAGGGGTTGGTTGGTTGAAGAGCGAATGAATTCGCACTTGTAAACGAGCATTTTCATTACGAAACTACGGGTACAAGTGCAAGTTGTTTCCGGCTTGTTCTGCGTGTAGTACGAGCCACAGATCGTCGCAAGAGAGAAATAGGGAAAGATGGCGTGCTATTTTTTAAGATGGAGAAAGATTGTGAAGCGATGGGCAGACGGTGCATCGATGAAAATACATGGAGAGAGATGGCGCACCAAATGAGAGAGATGGCGCACCGAATGAGAGAGATGGCGCACAAAGAGAGATGGATGGAGTCACAGTCTTCCCCCGAATACAACGTCCGGTCATTACAGCTGAATTCGGGTCATCTTTCAGTCTACAGACAACTATAATGAAAGTGCGTTGTATATTCCGGGGAAGAAGGTGGATGGCGCAAGAAGGGAAAGACATCGCGAATTGATTGGGAAGTGTGCCGCAGCGAGAGAGAGAGATTGCACACCGATGGAGGAACATGGCGCAGCAATGGAGATAGCACAGCAATGGAGAAAGATGGCGCACCGAAGCAGATAGATGACGATGGAGATAGATTAGGAAAGATAGAGCAGCGATGGAGATAGATGACGAAGGAGATAGATTAGGAAAGATAGCGCACCGAAGGCGATGCATGACGAAGGAGATAGATTAGGAAAGATACCGCATCAATGGGGATAGATGACGAAAGGTCGGTGGAGATCGCGCATCGGTGGAGAGAGATGGAGAGAGGACGCGCAACAATGGTTAGCGATGCCGCAATGATGGAGAGAGAAGGCACAGCGATGACCAAGATTTGTTATTGCACGACATCAGTTCCATCGAGTTAAACCTTCGTTAAGCATACCTGTCACCTGTTTCGTGCGATTCCACAGTGATGGGCGGCTGCACCGACGACGGCCTGAAACAACAATACAATGGCGATGGCGGGATCACGCACGAGTAATGGAGAGCCTCTGGGGCAAGGATGGAGGTTGCCTGGTTGTCAAGAGAGATCGCACAGTGATGGAGTGAGATGAAGAGTGATCACTCAACGATGGAGGGAGATCGTGCGGCGATGGAGAGAGAAATCGCGCAGCGCTGCGGTGGGATAACACTGGCCAGGGCTTCGATAGCGATGGTCAGCGCTGCGGTGGAGAGCGACGGCGCGGCGATGGAACGCGTTACAATGCAGCGATAGGGATAGCGATGGCAGCGATGGAACAGCGATAGCGATTGCGCAACGGTGGCGCACCGGTGGAGAGCGATGGCGCAGCGATGGAACAGCGATAGCGATGGCGCAGCGATGGAACAGCGATAGCGAAGGCAGCGATAGTGATGGCGCACCGATTAAGAGATGGCACAACAATGGAACCAATGTTGCGATGGCAGCTATGGTACCAGCATTGCGATGGCGCAGCGATGACCAGCGCTGCGATGAGAGCGATGACGATTGTCAGCGCTGCGATGGTCAGGCGAGCGCGACGGCTGCGATGGGGGATATAGCTTAGCATCGCGATGGCGATGAGCTAAGCCCATCGATGGCAATGGTGCATGGCGAGCGTTGGCGATGGCCATGAGCTAAGCGCATCGATAACGATGGTGCATGGCTAAGCGCATCGATATCGAACGTCGTTGACATTTGCAAAATGTCCGAATGACAGCGACACCGGAACTTATAGATTTTCGGTGTTTTTTACCTCGGCGCACAACGAATCGCCGCGCCTCGACGGGAAATAAACCGTCGCCTGCCCTCGGCGCGCAACGAATCGCCGCACCTTATAGATTCTTGCACTTAACCTCGTGCGTCGGATCATGCCGATCGACGGTCCAGATTACAACTGCGAAAATGACATTGCCTGCCCCTTGTTTTCGGGAACTGTCACATCATTGCACGTCGGAGTAGACGGAGATTTTGGATCCACTGGCATAACAATGGCTCCGTTCATCTGCGCGGTTGAAAAATTGTTGATTGACGGCTCACAATTTTCGGTACCCCTTACCGTTTATAGGCCCTCGTGTTTTATGGGCCCAGGGGTGCGATACGCGAATCGATTCGGCCCCACCTTGATGGCGTTTTATGGGCCCAGAGATGTAATATGCGAATCGATTCGTCCCCACCTTGATCCCGATGCGAGGCCTGGTGCAACTAAGTATAAAAGGCGTTGCAGCCCGCGAGTTATCCCTTTTGTTGGCGCTCCACAGATCAAGTCGCGCTATCGCTTCCGCGCGCGTTCTGATATTTGGTCTTCAGCCCCCACCACCTTTTGCCATAGCCCGCTCACTCTTCGCTCTTCGCTCCGTCCGCAGTTGCCACATTGTGTTCGGTTCGCTCTTCGCTCCTCGGTCTTCGCTCTTCCTAGCTCGATATCCCTCCACCATGGCTGGTTTGGTGGTTGGTTGCTCGCTCAACGTACGACGAAGGTAAAATCATATAACTTGAGTTGTCCTATTCTGTGTCCGACGTCCGAACACATTCCCAGATGCCCTGTCTGTACCTGCAGGATATAACCCCGCAGCCGCGTTCTGTTGAACCCCGAATCAATTCCCGGTTTTGTTGTTTCACCAGTGGACGTGCTCTGATCTCTTTTTTTCCACCCTCCACCTCCGTCCGCCATAGCCGATCTGCGTTTCCGCAGCTCGATTACCTTTCGCCATAGCCACGATAACGTTCGTATAAAGCTCCTCGATCCCCTTCGCAACTTGCAGTCGTCGTTGCGCATGGCGAACCCCGAATCAATACCTAGCTTCTACACTGAACACCGAATCAATTCCCGATTTTCGCTCACCTGTCCCTTGTGAGGTCGCCGACCTAATATCTACATATATATATAAATATATAGAT